TCAGGAAAAGATGCTACCATCTAAGTAATGGTGAGATTGCATGAAACAGAATTTAGCACTATTAAGTAGTTAATTCTTAGATAATCTGAGAATTGCCTTTAGTCAGAATAATGAATGCCAACTACCAGCAATGTTTTCATAGTTTACCAGTTACTGGGAAGTCTGATATCTCTACATTTGTTTGCTAAATCAAGCCTTGAGGAGTTGTCGATCTCAATATAGGTGTGTTAACTGCTACTTTTGAACATCCTAACAAAAGTTAACCCAGAGGTACATATGAATTTATTCTTAGATGCACTTGGAAAAGATACTTGTTATCCTGACTGCCGGCTTTCCAGTTGAAGCAAATGCTTTTAGATAGTCTCTCTTTTGAAGCACGAAGGATCATGTCACCCAGGAACTGTAGAATAGGAAAGCTTAGAAAATCATTTTTATGGGAGAAAACATACAAAATCCTCATTGAAAGTAAGATCACATACTAATGAGTCCTCTCTTTTATTTTTTAAAGATTTATTTTATGCTTACAGAACTGGGTACAGGCCAAAGGTGTGGTGGGTGAGAAGATTCACCAGACAGAATGGGGAGCAGAACAGGCAGATTGATGAAGTACACTGCTGAGGGGAGCAGTGGGAGGGTCAGGAGAGGTCTGCCATGCCATGTAGGTTAGCTGCCTAGTTGGGGGTTTGAACTTGTGCTACAGTGGCTTCGGAAAGCTTCATAATGTGGTGCTTTAACCAGTTGCACCACCAGGGAGAGCCCCCTCTCTCTTTTTCAAAAATAATTTGATTGGCCCTCCCTGTGGCACAATAGGTTGGGACACAGCACTGCAAGCTAGCCATAGCCGCTTCAGTGAGTTCGATCCGCAGCCCTGGAGGCGACCCACATAGTGCAGCAGACCTCTCCTGTCTCCCTCACTCTCCCCTCAGCAGTATACTTTGTTGATCTGCCTGTTCTGCTCCCCACTGTGTCTCTGGGGAATCTTCCACTGCCCCTGAAGCTCTTGGCTGTACCCCAGTTCTATAAACATAAATAATCTTAAAAAATAATTTGGTTATGCTGTATACAGAAATGAGTTGCCCTTCAGTACTGTTTATGAAAGATGCAAATTATAGAAAATGATACACATTAACTAGGAGGTATGTACTAAGTCTTCGATTTTACAGACTACAAGAAATTACACATAGAATTCTCTCCATGAACATATGTGTAGACTGTGTGCCAAATACTGACAGATGCTTAGTAAAACTTATACTATTAATTTAACCCATCGCACTTAAACTTTAATATAAACACATCCTAATACTGTAAATTAAGACTATCCTATTTAAGTCTTAAGCACACTTCCCATTCCAGATTTTTCCCCATTTTAAATGTGTAAATATTTAAATATTTGGTTTTTGCATATTGCTTAATGGCTTTCTATGCAAATATCTATCACTCCTCACTTTATTACAACAGTTTATGAGCAGTAAGAACAAAGTAGCAGGAAAGCAAGCCAAAATTTTTAGCAGTCCTCTAACTTGATGTATCTAAATTGAACTTCCTCCTAATGGGCTCTCAGGGAATGGCTGTACCATCTGCTGAACTGCTGAACAGAGATTCCCTTTCCTTACTAACATCACTCTTTTTTTCAATCTATTCCTTTATGTCTATAGAATCCAGCCTTTATGACACTGTTGTTCCAACTATCTGTTCCAGGGTTCAAGTCTTATAAATTTTTTCTCCTGTTCCTGCAATTTACTCCTGATTGACTGGTTGATGTAAAAATAGATATAACTAAAATTTACCATCTTAACCCATTGACATACTTTTGGCATTCTAGGATGACTTTGGAAAGCCTAAATTTTGTCATGTCTTATCTTCTCAAACTTCTTTAGAAATTGCACATTGCCAGTGGGGTAAAATCTTTAACCTAAGGTGCAAAGTCTTTAATTTTCCATACACTAATTTTTCCATTCATGTTCTCATACCCTATGCTCTCACCATATTTGTTCTTGTTGAAATGTACCACTGATATTTTCTACCTCCTTATCTGAAGCTCCCAGACTTATATTTTGAGTTTATAGGTTTTGATTCATAGGGAGGTTATAACTATGTATTCTTTCAGGAAAAGATGCTACCATCTAAGTAATGGTGAGCATACTCAGCCATTAATCATACATGTTACATGTCCCCCATGTTCAGTTGAGGGTAAAATATTATGAAGAAGGGTTGGATTTTCTACATCAAAGACATGGCTCTGGCCTGTGACTGAACTTCATTAGCTGGGCCTGGCTCAGGGATTGCCCGCGCTTCCCAGTCAATAGTAACAAGGGTCAGGGCAACTGCTGTTCTAGTTGACATGCAGGATGCCACTCATGCTAACCCTACAGGAATACGTGGTTCCTTATACTACAAGGGTTAAGGCAGCAAGGCTGGCTTTTCTTTCACTAAGCAGGTATTTGTATCAGTGCCAAAGAACTTGACCTTGCTTGCCTATTATGCATAACTCTTTCCCTTTTATCCCTCAGGACTCCTGTTTTGTTAAAGATCAGACTTTATTGCCTTTCACAAATAGTGCAGCAAAAAGCAAAGCAAACTTCTGCCCCTCCCAGATTTGAGTCTCTTGAAGGCCAGCACAAGTCTGAAAGGCATCCATAACAGAAAAAGATCCCCAGGTCACATACCTTCCCACTGTCCAAGACACGACAGGTCTGAAGGCAGCCCAAATATCCTTGGAAGAGCATCCCAAGGAGAAACAAGCTTGACCAGTACGTCATTAAGTGCCCCTACCTCTCCCCACCCCTTGTATCACCACCAAGTCTGCAGTGAAGAACAGAAGATAACACATTATTCATTGTGGATGTCAAGGTCAACAAGAACAGATCAAACAGGCTGTGAAAAAATACTGCAACACTGACACGGTCAAGGTCAAAACCCTATTCAGAACTGATGATTACAATGCCACATGCTTGACTGAGTCCTAAAAATACTTTGGGTGTTGACAAAAAATTGAGATCATCTCATTTCAACTGAGTGCAGCTGGCTAAATCCTAACACAAACACACACACACACAAATTGAGATCATCTCATTTCAACTGAGTGCAACTGACTAAATCCTAACACACACAAACACACACACAAATTGAGATCATCTCATTTCAACTGAGTGCAGCTGGCTAAATCCTAACACACACACACACCGCAAAACTTTTAAATTGAGATCATCTCATTTCAACTGAGTGCAGCTGACTAATTCCTAATACACTTTACCATTTAAGGAGAACACACACACACACAGCAAAACTTTTAACTGCTTAAAAAACCCAATTCATTTCTTTTAAGAACAGCAATTTGGGCCTTTGTGAATCTTGCCTGTTGTGTTACAAGTAGTCAGATGTCTCCATCGTTATCATGTTCCTTTTTATTCCAGAATTCTACTTATGTATGAAGTGCAATTCCGTTTATAGAACTTCCTACTTACAATGAAAGCACACTGAAATTAAACAAAACCAGAGTGAGTTTATTTACAAAAATTACAATAGTTATTTACAAATAAGTACAGATTGAGGTAATTTCTCCTATTCCTATTGACAGAAACCTTCACTTTTAAGTAAGGATTTTCTTATTTGTACATTAATGACTCTGCTTTTTACAAAATGCTTCAGAATAATTCCAGGAGGACTATTAGTGATACATACATGAATCACCTCCATCCAGTTTTATTTTCAAAACTACTATGTACAAGTTCAACACAACTAGAGTACAAGAAGACAAAACAGCACTAGCCAGAATAATCTTTCAACAGTAAATTTTGATTATTCTCTCACTATTAAGTGTTTTAGAACTTAAACCATGATTTTGGGCTTAAAAAAAAAAAGTTTAATGGGCTACACAATTTCCGATAGCCATTATTACCTGGATTATTTTACAGGTTTGCTATTGCTTAGGAAACAGAACTAAAGTAATAGATTCTGTTATGTCTGGTTTTTTTTTAATCAGAGTCACTGCTACTGCTAGAGGAATCTGTTGACATAACCTCTACATCATCTTCATTTTCTTTATTATGTCCTGGAGGTTCCAACAAAAAGTCATTACTGTGATTCGGTGGTAACATATTCATCGACATATCATTTGACTGCCATGGGTACTGTGGTGCAAGGACATCTGGAGGAAAGAAAGAAAATGGATTAGAACATTTCTACTACTAAGTAATTCCCTTCATGGAAATTTTTGAAGCAAATGTCTTTTAAAGCTAGAAATCAAAATACACATTGGCTAAAGTATTTAATAAAGATTAAATTTATCAAGGAAAAAGGCCATGCTTTAGTAGCTACAACTTGGGTTTCTTTAAAATCATACTTTCCTATAAATAACTTCATATATCTGTTGACATGTCAATTTCTTTTTTTCAGGACATTCATAATTTCAAATCAAATGTTTATCTATGCTGTATACAGATATAATATACATTAGTTCATATACTCCATGTTATGAAGGGTTTGATATATACCATTATTAAGTATTAATAACTTTATACAATTTCTTAGAAGACAAAGGAACTGCTATTGTGATTCTCATCAAAGAAAATGTATCCACATTAGAAATATAACAAAAACCAGTAATAATCTCTTTCTCAAGAAAGAATGTAGCATATAAACAGGTATAGTCTAAGACTATAAGTAAATTTTAAAAGGGTCAAGCTACATTAGCTGAATGGTGTGCCAGATATCAAAATCCCTCTGAAGCTTCCAGTTTATCGTTCTGTTTGGACTCTGAAAGCCTATCTCCTTTGCCAGTAGCCACAACCTAAGCTTTGTACAGTAGAGGGTGCTGGAGGGACTCTGCAGGAATGGGGTTCTCCTCCTGGATCCAGTGTTTTCCTTATTCCTGTTGTGCTGGTGTGATGTGTAGTTCAAGTCCAGCTCACCTCCTATCCCTATCAAACTCACTGGCTTCCCAGAATTAGTTTTACTTTTAGCCTAAAGAGAAGCTTCCCAGCATATGTCCCCAGAGCCTCAGTGGATAATTTCCTGTCTGTTAATTCTGGCCTGTGTCACCAGTGGGTCACAGATGCACCCCTTGAACCAGGGGCCCCTTGCCCGGACTTTTGGCTTTGGCTTGGGATTGGGGGGAGGTTTTTTGTTTTTTTTTTGATACTTGTTCCCCTTTTTTTTTCTTCTTTTTTTAGGAAAAAAAAAATTCTTTATTTTTAGGATCTTGTTACTAGTTAATGATTCTTTATAATGTTCCTCCTGTTGTGTGGTTTCTTCTGACTAGACTATAGTTGGTATGTGACAGTATAATCACAATGAGAAAAATTAGGCAAATTAATGCAGTGACTTTTAGTCTGTACTTTAACAAAAATGATGCTTACAAAGGTATTCTTAATAACACAGGAAATCTTACATTGAAATGTTATGCAAATAAACAAATATTTAGGGCCTTCCCTGTGGTCCAACAGGTTAAAGCACACCACTATAAAGTTATTCACAGTCACTACAGCACAAGTTAGATCCCCAGATAAGGAAGTGATCCATGTGGCGCTGCAGATCTCTCCTGTCTCACCCTCTGCTCCCCTCAGCAGTTTACTTCAGTAGATCAGCCTGTTCTGTGCCCATCTCTGTCTCTTGTGAACCCTTTCACCCCCTGTACTTCTGGCCCATGCCCCAGTCCTTGTATGCATAAATAAATCTTTAAAAAAAAGTTATTTAAACTACATAACAATTTATAGGAAACATGAAATAGGTAAAATATTAATGTTTATTGCTCAAAAAAGGTTAATATTTTCCTTTTCTATACTATTTTTTAACTTTTAAAATGCTTTACCAAAGCAAATCATATGCAAAAGACAAAACTGGGGAATATAAATATAAGAATAGCACAAATCTGGATGTAAAATTTGAAGACTGAATTCAGAATGTGCCAAATTTCACAATGATGCTTTTTATAAAATTATTAAAAAAAATCTTTAAATAGCTTTGTTACTCATTTTCTTAGCTTGTTTTTTTCCCAAGAGTGTATTTACTTTACATACTTTAAATTCAACATGTGTATTTTTTTATTCTAAGTTACATCATATTTTTCACAATCTTCAAACTAATGTTTACAGCAATAATAAAGGCGATGCCTAATGCCTGCGGAAAGGGCATTTTAACATTTGAGAGAATTTCAAAACTTCCACCTAGAAGTCTTTAAACTAGAGTAAGTAGAGAGCAAGATAAAATGACTGAGCATATAGCTATTAAAATAAGTTGGGTTACCTTAAACTTGCTCAACAGCCAGACATTACATCATCATCCAATCTGAAAATGATGTTCTGCTTTAAAGTATTTTTCTAATTAACATTACCTGGTAATCGGCCTGCCGCAAGCGCATCCCCTGGTAAGTGACCATTCACACCATTGGTGGAAGGATTATTCATCTGACCCAATAATCCACTTCTCATCTCCAAATCAGTTGGGTAAGGTCTTCGTGGGTCCCCTTAAAAAAAAGAGGGGAAGACTATTTTATCTACTTTCATTTATATACAAAATAAGTATGAATGTTTTCTCTCAAGTATTACTTTTCCTTAGTTGACTTTGAAAAACTTAATCTGACCGCAACACTGCAGAGCTAGTGCAGCAGCTTCAGTGTGAGTTCGATCCTTGGCCCTGGAGGTGATCCACGTGGTGCAGCAGACTGCTCTTGTCTCTCCCGCTGCTTCCCTCAGCAGTGTACTTCATCAATCTGCCTATTCTGTTTCCCACTGTTTCTGGTGAATCTTCTCACTGCCCCTGCACCTCTAGCCTGTACCCAAGTTCTGCATGCATAAATAAATAAATCTTAAAAAAAGAAAAACCTAATCTACTTTTTCAATTTTGGAGTATGATAGTTATCAATTGTTCCTTAGCGTATAATATACTAAAAAATACATGTACTTAAATTTCTTTTCTGTTGCAAATTAAAAAAAAAAAAAAACTGTCATTTTAGGAAACATTCCAAATAACCATTTAAAAAACTTACTATAGGGCCTTCCCTGGTGGCTTAATAGGTTAAAGTGGAACACTATGAAGCTATCCACAGCCACTCAGCACGAGTTGGATTCCCAGCAAGGGGGTGACCCATGTGGTGTGGCAGACCTCTCCTGACCTGCCCACTGCTCCTCTCAGCATGTTATTTCAATGTCTGCCTGTCCTGCTCCCCACTCTGTCTCTAGTGAATCCTCTCACACCTCTCTGAACTGTACCCCAGTTCTTATATGCATAAATAAATACTTTAAAAAAAAATCTTATAATGATCTTGGTTGTTCTGACTTGTATTACCTAATAAGAATATAACAATGATACATACACTAAGGGATGACAACACACCTTTTTAAATATAAATTAGAAAATACTGGAATTAAAACTCATCTAAACCACCTCTTTGTTAGTTATTCCTGTAACTCTGCAGTGGAATATCAGGAACCCCTTATAAAAGTATATTAAATGACATGCTTATGTTGACAAAAACTTGGCCAGATTTGGACAAATTTTTTGGGTAGTATTTTCACGTATTTTAGATTCTTAACCCACAACTCCCTTGCCTACCAAAAAAACAAAAACAAACAAAAAAACATACTTGTAGCCACCCTTGATGCTTTTAATATGGCAAAATACCAGTATCAGGCATTACTGAAGTTGAGAGAACTCCCTCATTCCTCCCAAAACATTGCTGGAGCTTTATCTTAGGAATCCACTTCTAAGCATTTTATTCACTGTCAGTATTAATTGTAGCTTATTACTCCTTGTTATTTCTAATTACTCCTCTTCTTTGCAGTCTGTGTGCTTGTTTTGAGTGCTCAGTGCTTGATCTTTTATCACCCAACAGTCAGGACTGTTTCCCCAGCTGGAATCTTTGTGGAAGACTTAATGGCTCTTAAATGTTGGCTCGTGGGCCAGCCCTGGTTTTATAAATTTATAGTTTTAGAATCATCACATTATTTTAATTTCCTTTTTTTAAAGGAAAGAAACATGTCCCTAGTAGCAATGATTCTGTAAAAACCAAATCGATAAATCTCATGACTTATATTCTTTCTTGTAAAGACATAAAAGGTGTCAAAATACGCAGCAGATGTTTCTAAGGGTACATATATTCCATATTAAATCTTTATTCCCTATTTCTGTATAGTTACCTAAGAAGTTTCAAAAATACATACATAGCTAATGAAAAAAAGGACAGTATTTTTACCTGGAACCCAGGTCAGTGGGGCACACACAGCATTGCTTGCACTAATCCTATGTGCATATTTAATTATTTCTTCAGAGGAGATAGCGCCTGAAATAGTCAAGAAAATGTAGTGTTTAGTCTATTAATATGAAATGCATATATCATAGCTACATCATATTTAAATTATCTGAAAATAGGATAACCTGAGTTACCAACCTTCCTAACAGTACCTGTATGTACATTGTAAGCATAAATTTTATGTCTTCAAACTAAAGAACATTCATTCAGAAAAATTAGCTGAAGTAATTAAAGGTTTAAAATTTGGGATACTAGAATGGTTACCATTCAACCCCAGTTACTAACTATCAAAAATACTATTACTGTTCTGAAAGCAATAGTAAAGACAGATAAAACAAAGAGTGTTTTACCTCACAATGATATTCAAACTACTTAAATAGTGCTGTAGTTTATACTCTACCCCTCAACTATTTGTATATATGACCATGGGCTGCAGGAGAGCTGACTATAAAGATGCCCATAATGCATTTGGTGAAAGGAAAACTGCTAAATATGTACCCATTAACCTGATACTATTAGAAATAAATATTAAAATGCTTGTTTTTGAATGTATATTGTACACACATGTATTTGTATTACTATTATCCATATGTAAATGCATAGGTCCAAAAATAATATGGAAGGACACCAAACATTAACAGCAGTTATCTGAAACAGGAAAAGACAAATCTGAGACCACTAATGTAAATCCCAAGTACAAAAAAATTAAAAAGCAAAACCAAAATTTTCCTTAAACCTCTGTTAGTATTCAATCTAAAAGATTCAAAAAGGAAATTTTTTAAAGAGAGAAGCCATTTGGAACAGAAAAGTATGCCAGGGCTTCTGTACCTGTACATGTGCATACATTACAATCTCACTAGCTAATTCTGGTTTCATGACATCTTAACCCCTTCCCAGTTCACCAATGGATGATCTCGTTTATTTTCTGACCCATCTGTAAGCTACAATTCAAATCCTACCTACTTCTAGCCCATAGTTTTCTTTCCATCTCAATAATTTTATAAAACCCATTCTCTTTATTGCACATTTAGACACAGCATTATATAACTGTTTCTTATAACCAGAATACTACCTAGAAGTACCTAGCACAGTAGATAAATTTGTGGGCACTTTATCAAGAGCAATACACTTACCACTTTCTGCAAACCCAAACCTGGATTATTTAGGAAACCAGTCAGTGCTCTCACAGTACTAACCTTTTCTTGCTTTTTCTATTGATTTGAGTTTTTCTTTTGCTTGGTAAACAGCTGTTGCCTAATTTGAACAAAATTTTAAAAAGAGATATGGTTTATTCTTAACTATATCAAAGTTTTAGGCCTAATTCACAAAATCATGTAGCTCACAGGAACAAAACTGCACAATTTGAAAATGCCCACAACTTACTTGTAATGTTTTAGCCAGCATTTGTTATCAGTTACATTTAATAAAAACATTCATAAGTAGCCTCTAGTAAAAATGAAGCATAAACCGAGTTTTTTCTAATATTTCCTCCTTATATTTTCTATCATAAAACTACAGAAAAAATCCAGACTACATTAAGGCATCTTATTCTTGCATTAATTTACCCATCCACAACTTATGACACAGTGGTTAAGAATA